CGAAAAAGTATCGAAATCGCAATTCTTGACTTGGTATTGGTATCGAAACAATAATTTTGGTATCGTGACAACACTACTTTGTCATATATGATAGTAAATAAAATTTGGGGTTTTGGACTGAAAACAAGACGTTGGAAGGCATCGCCTTGTGCTCAGGGAAATAGGACGTTTAGTAGACAAAACGATTGATTGATTACATGAGAAAATAATCAGCGGATTCGTTAAAATTGGTTAGATGTAGTCCTTCATTCAGGTTCATGTAAATGCTATCATTTACGTAGACCTTAAATTAAAGTAACATAATTTTAGAATGAATGAGTTTATTTTTACATAGCGTGTGTCTTAAGTTTTAACATGTGGAGTAAAATTTGAACACATTGCCCTCTTGTTGTTAAAGTTCTTCCACTGCATTTGCTTATGAGCCAATTATATTAATAACCAAGTCTTTGAATCTGTGGTCACTGTGGTGTTACTGTGCAGTTGGTAAGTGGATGTCTGCTCCAGAAAAGAAACGGAGGGAGGCAAAGTAAAAGTCAGAGTTAATTAAATGCTCTCTGTGCTGTAGCAAGGAAGTAGTCATGAGAAGTAGGGGAATGAAACAGTGATTAGAGGGTTTAGAGTTGATGGCTTTTGTCCCATGTCATTCAAGCAATGTTGCTGTTGCTGTTCAGTGAATGAAACTGTTGCTTCCCATAGTCACAATTTAAAAATCCATATTTAGCATGAGAAAAAAAGCTGAAAACTGAAAATAACTAAAGGACCTGTAGATAAATTGCTAAGATACCAGCAGGTGCAGTAATGTGCTTGAAATAACTAACTTAAATGTCTGAATAATTAACAACATGCCATTGTGGATTGCAAATGTACAGTAGTAAGTGGAGAGAGCAATGTATCTGTATCTGAACACTTTTTCCTTATTGATCCCATACTCGAATATAGTGGTGGGTTTGTGATTTGGATGTAGTGTACCATTTTAATGGAATGTACTGAAAACATTATGTATGAATTTTCTCACTCTCCTTTTTGTGGGTTTGGTCTCATTTAAATTAAGGCTACACAATATGGTAAAAAGAAATCATACTGCCATTCTTTTTTCAGGCGTTACAATTGCAATACATTTTATGATTAGCAGGAATGAAGATTTCTGCATCACCATTTTAGCTTTCACTGAGAAAGCTATTAAAATTATGATGATGTGACATTTGTTGGGGTCTACCAACAAACATGTTTTGTTACATCTAGAGAACAAGATGTCTTGAGCCAGGGCATCTCTGCGGTACTTTATTATAACGCTGGTTTGTCAAACATTTCAAAACCAACAAACCTGTGATTTAGTTGGGTTTTGCACTTTGCCATGTTGTGAATTTTGATAATACTTCGATAAATTTTGCAGCCCTTGTTTAAATTTTGTGTTCTACCAAACACACAAACAAATTTCATATACTTGCAGACAAATATGTAGTCATGACAGTTCTTCCTATGCAATACTTTATTTACACGTGCGTGCGAATAAAAGAGTGAAAAGAAGAATTTAATAGAATAGGGGATTAATAAAGTATATATCTTCATCTTTTTCTAATCTTAAGTATAATCAATTTTGTATCAAAAATCTGCAAATTTGTGTAGACTTTGAAGCGGCTATTTTTTTAAAAGAATTTTCAAATGACACTGTAATGTATGAGGCATCACTCAAAGTGATAAACTCAGACAATTATCACCTGAATCGGCAGCTCCCCTCAGCTTTATGGAGGTTTGTAGCTAGTTTCAACTCATTCAGCTGTCCGGCCAACAACTGTACTGTTTTCAGTAAAATAAAAGTGACTGTACACAATCTGTACAGCAAACTGACAGGAACATTTAGTGACTAGCTGGTGAACACAATGGAGCATTTAGTAGAGCTAGGTATTTCCCAGTTGATAGAGACAAAACAGAGCTAAAAATAAAATGAATTTTGGCCAGGTTGCCAAAAACCTGACTCCAAATGAATGATAATGTTGCTCAGTAACTGTTGGAAGCATAAAGAAGCAACCATTAGCTAACATGTTCTCCATGTCAACTTAAATGGTGATGATAGTCAGTGTTGTGCAGCAGCTTGTTTTTGCTGTCCTCAAAAGCCAAACAGATCATTTATTTCCGTTTTTAAAGTGCTGCTGACAAAATACACACACATTTTTTGCACAATCCATTTTCTGCTGGTGTATGAATTGCTCCACAAGAAAGATGCAGCATTGTTTGCAGTCAGCTAAGGGGCGGAAGTGGATGGTATGAATATGTTCTCTTTATCCAGCTGTGTTAACGTACTGTTAGCATAATGGATTTGATAGACTGTGGAAAGGTAATCATGAAAATCCTATGAAATCCTTGTTGAGATGCTCTTCAAGGGCTCTTCAGATTAACAATTTCTCCCAGACTGGGTGGCTATGTAGGGTTTCTGCATGACATAAAGAGCTTGAAGGAATAATAATGACATACTACTAGATGAAAATGAGAAGACTGGT